ATTTTAGGAACACATTATGGATTGATATAAGAGCAGTTATTAATTAATTTAGTGCCTCAATGAGTTCTCAAATAGGACATAAAAAAGGGTAAAAAAAATGCCACAAAGTAAAATGACTGAAATTACAAAAAAGGAGGGGTAACTGTGCAGTGTTTTATTTTTTGCTGAATAACTTTTTAAAGAGTTGCAAAATTTTACTTTGCAATCATTTTTTTTTTTGTGATTTTTATTTAGTTCTTGTTGACCTACAAATGAAATCACGACAGCTGCCGTTTGGCTTTTAAATAATTAATCTTAATTTTCAACTTTCAGATGTGACAATGGCTGGTACGTTTTTTCCGGCCCATTAATTTTTGGCGCGCGCGCGTGTCAGTTTATTCTCGGTTTTGGCACATTCACTGTTGAAAAGCCCTTAATTTCGGCTTCGGCACAGACAGACAATCGTGTTATTTTTATTGCCCAGGCGCGCGTGCAGCTCCAGATAATTGATTTCAAATCAATATCTGCTTTATTTCACAGCATTGTGAGGATTCTTGCTACAAATAGAGCGCGCCCCTAAATGTCCGTTTGCGCACTAAATCAAACACTTTCCGCACCAGCGAATCCTTTTGTGCTCGCGCGCCGTCGAGGGGGTCAACTAGATATTTCCCATTTTTTCCACTTCTCCTTTTATATTGCACACACACACATATATATTCGATTCCGACTGAGCGAGTGTTGCGCAAAGGGTTCATATTTTTTTTTAACTTTGTGCCGAATGAAAGAAATAAAGAGAGCGCTCTCTTTTATTTGCCGAGCCGAAAACACAAACTGGATCGCGGTCCGGCCTTTCTATTTGCACCCAAACAAGTATTTTCATACTCAAATGCACTCGGCGCGCCGGAAAATTGAAATTAATTCACTCGGATAGCGGGGGCTTTTCTCGTTTCTATCAAAACTCTTTTGTGTTTATTCGCCGCCAAGAAATAATGAGACGACCCCAAGGTCAACTGTGCCGGACGTTGCAGAACTTGCCCACAATCAATTTGTTTGCTTTTTTAACCAATATACATATTAAATAAATGAGGAATATGATATTCTTCATGATTTATGCAGATGATAATGTTGCGCAAATACGATCACAAAGAAAGTTTGACCAGTTTGTTTCCAATCAATGTGAATAAATTATAAATCCACAGTCGGTCTTTGAAACAATATCTTTTGAAAAATCATTGTTATATTAAACGCTCTCATTTAAGAATTGTGAGTAAAATAAGGTTTTAACAATAAAAAACCGCACTTCTAAACACATTTTTGGAACATTTAAATTAATTAATTTATTAATTAATAAAAATATTTGTGTATTATTCTAATAAAATAAAGTGCAAATCTGGTTAAGCAGCGCATTATGACAATGCAACAAAATCCAGCTGTCTAAAAGAAACGTCAAGAATAATTAATTTTTTCTTTCACTGATTCGATTGCTTTGCATCAGACTTGTAAACTTATCCTCTTTTACGACGTTTCACGAATTCACATTATTTCCCTTGATTTCTGATTGAAAAATTTAATTCAAACACGTTTTTAAGTTTATGGAAATCAAAACGTTTAAAAAAATCAATATACACCATCAATATAAAGCTCAAAGCAAGGAGCAGCTGAAAAGGTCAGATTTCGCCTGCATTGCAGACCACTAAACGTACATGGAGCAAAAAGGTCAACAAGGAGTGAAAAGCGTGAAGCGTTTTTAAAGAATGAAAAAAAAAAGGATCGAAGCAATGACTTATTACGAGAGAGTTTTTTGGCACGAGATTTGTGTCGTCTCTCTCTGGGATTAATTTTTCCACTGCCGAGTCGGGTGCGAACAATAATTGGACAAAGAATGATTTAATCGCGTTTGCGACAAGACTCATAAATCTGTCAAGAGGCGGCGTGAAATTGCATTTGGCTCGATTTATGACCTCTGGTGGCTGCGTGACCGACGTAAAAAGCAAATAATGACCGGTCCAGCGATTATCGACACTTAAATAGTCAGCTTATGTAAATCAGCATTAAATATTTTCATTATCGCCGCGCGCACAATGCTCTCGTTGCAGCGTCCGAAAAATGCAATCGCAGACAAAGGAGTGCTTGCAGATGCCCAATCAAACTGGTTCCGCGCGATGTGATTTCTAAAGTAAGGGTTTTATTATTGGTATTCATATTTCATAATTCCCTGACACTCCCTTTGTATGCGTGTTTTGCCTCCCGCTCTTATTCTCTATATGTGCTCACCCTGTGTTTTGCCAAACGCAACCCTTGGCATGGCACTCAAGAGCGGGTACAGAAAAAACAGAGAGGAAAATCGTGCGTTCAGCTCTCTACCGATGGACCTTTTTATTCAAGAGACTGGCCTTTGCAATCCAGTGGCGTAACCGACGCTGTGTGTGGTCTTAAAATGAGCAAAATGAGCTTTTTTATAATATATATATGATTATCACAAAACAAGAGAGATTTTTGCGAACACAAAATCCTGCAAGAAAGTTTTAATAATTCATTAGACAAACAGAATTAACTTGAAATAAAAAAATTAAGTGAAAGCAATTTTACAATAAAAATAAAACAATTATTAGATATTCCATGATTTTATATAATTTATAAATTCGGTATTAAATTATTAAATTATTTAAATTTATAAAGTTGTTTTAATATATATATTTTTTATTAAACAATTTATTATGTATAAATTTTTATTATAAGATACAAGCATTTTCCTCTATTGTAATTATCAAAAGTATTTCAAAGAATACTCATAAATTCGTAACCCCTTTTGTGATTGCATAATATAAGTATGTAAAAAAATAAAAATATAAATTCATGTTTTTATTAATAATTTTACTGTTTGTAAATGTATTTACATTGGGTAGGTTTAATTTATTTACAAGCGAATTTTAACTCAATGTGTAGCAAAATAAAATGAGCAATTGATATGATTTAAAAAAAAAATTATTAGACATATTTTGAAAATCCAACTAGCTCGAACGACAACTCTTTCTTTTACGTTATAATTTGGTAAGTACTAAAAACTCCATTTAATCAATTCAATTCAAATCAAACTAAACTGCACAACCGCAAAAATTCGCTCAATTGTACCCTAAACAATATGTGCGAGAATTGAATAAAAGCCGCATGATATACAAATTAAACCGCCTTTGATAAATCAATCTAATAGAAAAAAATTGTGCATAGAATTTCGCATTCACAATGAGCTCGTATTTTCCATCCCCACGAGACCCGCCCCTGGTGGTGTCAAAACTCAACCAATTTTTTTTCTCGTCCCATATTTTAGCAAGAGAGCGAGGTTCTATATTATTACATTAATGACATGCTCTCATATGTGAAATGCATACTTAATAATCTGGCCGCCGTTTCGCGAGGAGCAGATGGCGATATGAACTCGCGGCGAATATAATAATGAAAGTATTTACGCGGATTATGGGTCATATAATTTAGACAATCGCGCGGCAAAAAAAATCACAGAGATCATCGTAATGATGGCCTGCGCCTTTTGTGCTCTCTCTTGATTTGTTTTGTGTGCAGCTCTCGAGACCACCAACCCCGCCGGGGGTTGTTTAGGCCTGTCGGATTTCGGGCCTTTTGCCCCTCTCGTGTCACCCACCCCAGGCGGTTTGTTAATGAAATGTGCATGTAATGAGCAGTGTGAATTCCGCTCGTGGCCTCGTCACACACAGGATATTGACTGCGGTGTCGTTAGGCAACCGGCACGATTTGTCCGCGTGGCTAGCTGCATAACACCCTGGCAATTTAGGCGCGTGGTTGATGGAACTTTGATGTTGCAATCGCGTTTCCAACTCTCAATAATTAGTAGCGATTTCAGCAATCGACACTTTGAAACGCTTCAAAAGATAAAAATTCACCTAATTTAGAAGTACAACATCATTTTCTTTTTAGGGAATTATTATTAATCGTTTGTATTATTTATTTAATAAGTTGGAAACAAAATTCTTTTATTGTTGCTAATTTTTCATCGATCCTTAGTATAACTTGCAAATTTAATTTGTTTAATGCTTTTTAATATTTAAATTTAACAAAAATCTGCAAAAATCAAAATAAACGGAATCCGAAGTTATCTTCCTTCATCATAGCTAGGAATTTAAATAAGTTGATCCAGGGAACGATTAATCTATCAATGTCCAAACAGAGAATACAAATGTTCAATTTAAAATTTTCAATCAATCAGAGCGATGTCAACCTTGTTAAAAAAAAGAAAACAATTCTGAGTACATATAAAATGTAAAATGTTGAATTATACTAATAAAACCATAAAAAATGAAGAGGTGATGGAATATTAAAATTTATTTATTTACCTACATACATTTCACTCATTTTATTGACCTTAGATATTTATTAATTAATTTTTTTTTTAATTGTAAATTTTGTGCTTTTTTTACATTTATAATAGAAATTAAATCATATATATATAAATAAAAGTTAAAAATTAAAAAAATTCATTAATTATAATAATAAATTTAATAAAATTTAAATTTCATTGATTTATTATTCTTTTAATAATTTAATGATAAAATTTGTAAATTATTTCCTTTACCAGTAGTTAATTTTTTGCAAATAACAGAAATCATCCTAATTTAATTTACATTTTTCAGCATCATAGTATAATGCAGTAATTTTTATAATTTAAATCTGTGTTGCTATCAAGGATCTTTTAAATATAAGGGAAAGATCCTTGGTTTTTAACAAAAATATCAAACGTAATGCACAGACGACACCAAGCGGAGAGGCCGTGAATCACATCGCCTGACCAAGATGTGTTGTGAAGCGGAGGTAGGTCTCTTATATCCGCATAATGTGCAGAGTGATGCAGAATAACGTTGCGCTCCAACTCGTGGTTATTTTCGCTTATATAAATTGGACATCGTCCTTTAAGCTATTTTAATTCACCTGTCACGCTGACTTCCCAAAGGGTAACAGCTGCTTCTGCTTATGAATAAAGAAACCAAATATGCATTTTTACTCTTGATGTTTTTATTGATGAACATCTCGCAGCTAAAATATAATCATAAATATATTTATTCAACAATACAATGCCTTAATACATATTCAACACTTTGATTATTTTTACGAAATTAAAGTAGTTGACTACATTGACTATCGCTCTTTGTTTTGTCATTTTTTTCCTTTCTCCTTGTTAACAATTTAATGATAATCTTAAAAGAACAATAAGAGTAAGGAGGAGGCTTATTCATATATCATTTTAAATGGAAGAGTGCATAACATGCTTGGGATGAAAGAGTTAATTTTTTTCTTCTCATTTTTATTTAGCTCACGTTCTCTTCTGGCGGTATTACACTCGAATAATATTGTATGCAAATACACAACAAGTTATTAAACACTTTATTCTAATTCAAATTACACTCTCTAGATGATAAGACAGCCTCTGAAAGCAGCATCTTTGTGAAGGTTCATCGAATGCGACCAAAACCTCCACACAAAAAAGTGAAAAACCAACTAAATCAACCGTGAAAATGCACGCCAAGTGTATATGATAATATTGTCGCAGCAGAGATGCGTGAAATCGTGGCAGAGATACTGTGATTTGAAAATAGGAAATCAACATATGGCCGCTTCGAAAATATAAAAATCATGCACTTAGTTCAGTTAATCCTGCTGTCATCACTTAAGAGCGCCAGCTGGATTAAATGCGATAAAAGAAGTGCTTTTTCCCAATCATGCTTGATAATGGTTTTTAAAATCATTTTTATGTCCGTCATAAACAGAAAAAAATCATTTCTTTTCGCTAGATTATTTTATTGCGTCAGGCTTATTATGAAATATTTAGGTGCTTCACTCATTAATGTTTCAAAAAGCCACCCGGGATATGCTATACGTGCCTTACATTTTGCGTGACAAGCGCAAGTGAATAACGATCTTATTGTTTTGTTGCGATACCTACAAGAGTACTAAAAGTGATTTTTTCGCCCTAGAATATGATGTCATTATACACACCGTCTGCATAAGTTGTTTATTATCCCACGCCGAGAGACTGATTAATTTCACATTAATTATTATATCCACTTGTTATTGACAGCAAGTGTAAGGTGCAATTTCTTATAGTAATTCAGGTTGCATGACTTGATGCGTGTCTCAATCCTGTTAGGGTTCAGAAAAAGCCACCAGATTTTTTTTTCAGTGCTGATTATTTTAGATGTTTTTGTTTACTTTTTATGTCGGTACTTTTAATAAGATAATTATAATATGTAAGCAGAAAACTTTCTTTAGGGACACAAAAAATGTGAATTAATATGTCTTTGGGGAAAAAACTAATAAGTTAAAATTTAGAACTCCATGCCTTAAAGTGATTTTTTTTTCAATATTCAGTTAAAACCACTTTTCTAGGGTTAAATTGTTCCCCTTGCGGAAAGAAACAATAAATTTTACTTTTTAAGGTGGAAATGAAACTCAGTGTTTGGTTAAAACTGGGAGATAAAAACCCAAAACCAGCTGAGCTGCACGTTTATAAAAAAAAGCGTGGACAATTCTGAACCCCAGGTTATTTTATCAGTTGCCAAATCAATTAAATGGAATGGCTGACTTAAAAAAGGTGAAACTAAGAGATTTAATTAATGTTTTGTAATTTCTCAAATGAAAATTTATCCCTCTTTTGTCGCAAACGGAAGGTTTAGACTTACCAGCAACTTTGAGCTCAAATTTAATTCCATTTTCTGGAGATAAATCCAAGCTTGCGGCAAAAGCAGCCTCTCTGTTAACTGGAAATAATCCCTCTTAAGCCAAGATTTTGCGGGCGGCATTTGGCCCGACGAGGTTTAATCACACCCTCGCAGCACTCTGACGCAAAATACGCGTCACTTCCACGCGCATTTGCATTTTATTAACGAATGATTGAACGGATATTGGATTCGCAGAGACACACGCATGCTCCAAATAAGAGAGTGTGAATCTTTAACGACAAACATTGAAAAGTGCGGAAAATTTCATTTCAGGCCACCTGCTTTTTGATTGGGAGGAAAAATTTAAAAAAAAAAGAAGGCATGTCAATATCACCCGAAGAAAAAGTTGGAAAGAAACTGCTTTTCATAAAAATACTCTGCTCTCCGATTGTAATTAATTTTTATTGCTTCCTCATTTTCTGCTTGCTCTTTAATTCTTATATAGGGCTATGTTAGAATCTTTCTTAATCTTCTTTTTTTACACAATAAGTTAAAACTCTATAGGAGAGATATATGAGGTAACTCTTCTTTGCTCTCGTCTCTGAGTGTCTCGTGGGGCTACATCTTAATTTTTCTATAGGCGTGGAGAATCGTATGTGAGGTGATCGTAGTTTCTAGCAGACGGTGCTGAGCAGCAGTTGGGGTAGCCGGAAGATGCGGTGCCACGCGCCGTTTTCGCCCCTCAGTGGCGCGAAAAGTTTGGCCGGGGTGGACGACGGCCGCGTCACCATCTTCTTGGCGGCGATCATTCCTATGCAGGGATGAGCCATTTTGGTTGCGAGTTAACTCAGGCGGGCCTACAGAGTATACAACGAAACAAAATTCATGCAACAGTAACCTCTAAGACGATTTCGGCATGCTTGATCGCTGGAGACTTTTCTGCGCCAGCGATCAATGATTCATTTTAATGGGGGACTTGTGCTAATTTTGGCCTGCAATTGTGGAGCGTCGAATAGTCTTGCTTTGCTTCGGTGGGCGTGAAATAACTGATTTTGTAAATTGTGTTCTTGTTTTAGGACGTCTGTTTACACGTCTGTCTTTTGAATTTAACTATTCAGATAGATCATCGATTTTGTTCGCAAAAAAAACTAAGTCAGAGAATTCAAAGACGGTTAATAAAACACGATGATATTATCATACCATATTTTATTTATTGAATCGACTATCAAAATTCTGTATTCTTGTTTTAAATCCAATGGGATGCTATATTAGATTGATTTAATTTAATTCTTAAATTTTTTTTCAATCATCTTGAAGAAAATGTAACACTTTAAATTTTAATTTTGTGAAATTAATATTTCACAGCCGTTCAAAAAAAAAAAAAGAACGAAAAAACCATTAAGTGCGCCATGAAGATAAACTCTCTGATCAAAAATAACTTGCATGTAATTAAAATATAATTATATTAAAATGAATGTTTGAACGCAAGTTTAAAAATCTAATTTTATAATTACTTTATTTCATTTTTATTAAAATTTTATTTTTATTAAAATAAAATATATACAATTTTATCAGCGAGATTTTTTAATTTCAATCAAAGTGAATTATGATAAAAAATTATTTGCATGTTTTAATTTATTCAATGAGCTTGTATGTAAAAAATTAGATGATACTAATGACTTTTTTTGAACTTACTTAACTGTGACTGACTTTAAAGTAACTTTACATCAAATTGTGCAAATTATTGACCAAGTTAAATTGTTATTAAAAGCCATTTCAGATATTTTAATTACTAAAATAGGTCGTGTTTTGTTATATAAAAATAATCCACGAAACACTGTTACATTAAAATTGAATTCATTCAGATATTAGATCTAATTTTTAGCAAAAAAAGAAAAGTTGTAAATAAACCGGAGCAAAACTTTTTCTTTTGGCGCCAAGTAGAAACAAGTGCAATTTTCAACTAATTACCACAAATTACAATGTATATTAAGTCAACCGTATTTATAAGAAGCTCCACAATTACGCCATTAAAAAGTACTAACGGGTGTATACATGTAAATAACCTACTTTTGAAGAAGAAAAAGAGGTAATATAAAAATTTGCATGCACCGCATGAGAAATTTACTGCCATAAAACTTTTTACGTTCTGCATCAATTTTCAATTTCCTCTCATTTCGCATACCGCAGTGTACAAAACACGAAAATTATGCAAATAGCGCGCAGCTCGTCGGGAGTGACGCAACTTTTACGACTTGTGTACCGAAAGGATCAACTCCAGAAGCGATAAAAAGTGCTGCTTTTATCTCGTTTCCTTCTATTCAGGTTGAATGGGGTTTTCCATCTACACTCTCTACACGTCCTCCTGTGTTTTTCGGGGAGATGCGTTCACCGCACAGTCTGAGAGTGTGCTATGGTGTTATCGTTTTTCACTCTCTTGTGTTTACAAATTTAAACCTGCTGCAGCTCCATTTCAACAATGTCCCATTGTTGGGAAAATGTTGAGAGTGCCTGCGGCGAAAACAATAACAATGTTTCACCTGTACCTTCCATGGGAGCTTATTTTTTTGCAAAAATATCCTACCACAATATCCTGCATTGTTTATTTTGCATTAAATATAACTCATTGTGTTGCCTTTAATTTCAAATTATACGCCATTGAATCAATTTAAAAAATCAATTATTAATATTATATAAGTTATGTTAATTAAATATCCTTTGTGATTATAAAATATTTCCTGCCAAACTATATGGTTATATTACAGTTAATTATTATCCAATTTTGTCAATTTTTTTAGATTAAAGCAAGCGTGCCGCATGAATTCAATTTATGTTGTTTGGTGATGATAAATAATTCCCATAATTACCTCTTGTCAGCGCTTGGATGAAAAAAATTGACCAAAAATTTCAGTTAATCGGTCCACTTGTCGAATTGAGCTGCACGACTTGGTCATTTAGCAACGCAAACATCACCATAATTGGCCGGCAGAGAAAACAATATTGATCGCTCGTCCGTATCCTTGACCTTCCTCCACATTTTGCATTGTTCCAGCGTTTAACCTCCGAGTTAGTGAGATATATACAGACAGATAACCCAGTTTAATTGAAACAGAATCAGAGTGGTGGTGGATTCAATAGCACGTGCGCGCGAGAGATTCAAAAATGAGACGAGCTGCTCAAGCTGCTGGCAAAAACGAGTGTTGGCATGTAGAAAAAAATAATAATGCAAATGCCCCGTCTGCAAGAAAAGAGTTGCCGCTGGGCGCTACAAGAAAACGAGGGCAGACTAGAAGTGCGATAAGCAGCGGAATATAAAAAAATAATAAAAAAAAAATCAATGATGAGCCTCGTGAGCCTCAACTCACTGAGAAGAAAGTCCAGTAAAAAGTAAAAACTATAATTATCTGCCTAGTGCATGTTTGCTCCAAAAAGATAAAGTGATCATTGTTAGTAAAAATTATTTTTTTACATGTATTTTGATGTATTTATAAAACGTATCTATTTATTTTACTTCATTACCTGACTTTTAAAGAGAGCCATCAGAATTTTAAAGGAATTGTTTAATTATTGCATGTTATCCAAACATGAAAATTTTACTTGCTCTATAAATTAAACACTCAAAGATTGATTGTTTAATACTTAAAAAATATCAAAATGTCAAAAGATCCTAGTAGAATGAAAATATTATTAAATTTTTAACTAAATATCTAATATATATTTTGTAATAATAAAAATATAGTATAAATTTATTCACAATTAAAATTAAAAATTCATTCAAATATTTTATGTTTAATAATAAAAGACATAAAAAGCACCTTAAGTTGATGCCAAAGCCCATCAAAAGTAAGCCTCCTATCAGTAAGTTAGTTAGTCCGAGCTCTGTGTCACGTTGATTAAATTCGAGGCTTTCACATTAGGAACGTCAGACCATGGAAGGCCCTTTCGTATATCCCCGGCATACAGAGGCATATAGTAGTTATTGATCCTTTCACAGCGCTCGGCCCAGCTGATAAGCGCTATTTAACTGCGTCACACAGCCCTTCCGAGAACCTGCTGGCCAACCGCTCGCACTACTATTTTTTCGCACAAATTGTCGCTCAATTGCTGAGCAAAAAGGGCCGACGTCAGAGTGGGATGCTATTCTGTCCTTTCGCCCCAATTGGCATGATGAACTGCAGCTGATTCAATAACTAATTGTCCGCAGGCACACAATGCGCTCTCTCGGACGCAGGCAAGGCGAATTAATAGTGGCAGAATTGATTCGCGTTTCATCGGCCCTGTCCTCTGCAGCATTGGCTGCGCAACTTTACAAATGAATGTGACCTGCACGCAGCGTTACTCGACGACCCTCTATGAGAGCTTTTTCACTTTTCGCTAAATTGGATTGGGAAGCCATGGGAAACATTCGGGGCAGGCGCCACTTGTTAAACTTTTTACGCAGATCCCTTTAGTTCTAAAACAAAAAACTGATTCTGATTTGTGAACTTAGAAGAAGCTACTTCTTCTGGAAATTTGTTTTTTGTTTTAATATACAAATAAATAAATAAATTTTGCTGTAATATTAAATTTAAAATTTAATGCTTGTTTTTCAAAACAGAAAGGTTTTCCAGCGTAATTTAATAAATTTGATGGATTTTTGAGGCTTATTCTGCATTTCATAAAAATATATTAAATTTCAAATTCTTAAAATTTGGGTATTTTGTGTTTAAACATGAATCGTTTTTTTTTTTTAATAATCTCCTCCTCGCAGTCGTTTGATTTCAATGAATGCATACTTTTCAAACCTGAATGAACAGCTTCATTTATTTACTTGCAAGTTCTCCAATACTAACTCTTTGAAGCTCATGTTTGTGTGTCAAGTGTGCGGCAATGTGTGCATGAGTGTGCTATTATATTGCTTGGGCCTGGAGCGGAGGTTGGGAGCCCCGTGGGCAGCACAACGAGAGTTTATTTTCCTCGCATGCAGAAGCAGTAAAGGAGTTTCATGTATAATTGCCGTGCGGAGCTCAAACTCCCGTACTTTCTAAATGATGGATTGTTGCTTGAGACTGACAAGCACAGCTACCGATTTTAATTTTGCAGCAGCTCAACTAGACATTGTGGGTCTATTGATTTACTTACACTTTTTAAAGAAAGAAAACAATATAAACTCTACAATTTTTCCGCACAGAATAATAATATTAAAATATAATTGACTTGCTGCAGCAACTTTATCGATTAATCGATTTTTTTGTAATATTCTTCTTTTGCAAAACGAGGTGAGAATAATTCATTACGATTTATCAGAGAAAAGTATTAATATTAAAATCTAATATAAACATTTTGAGTAAGCAACATATTTTTGAGAATTCTGATGATTCAGGTATTTTGCAGGGGGAGAAATTTTGGGGACCTGTGAAATTTTGTGTAAATTTTTTATTCTAAAACACAACATAAATAATTAATCATTGATTTATTTATACAGAAAAGAGTACCATTTGTTTTAAAATAAACTCATGCATGGGTTCAAAACGTAAAAATTCAAGTTGCTGTTAATATATAATTTTTCCAACATGTTTTCACCTCTTTGACGTTGACAATTATTTACTTTGTGACGAATGTGTTCATTGACTAGCCTTGAATAATTTTTTAGCATTTTATTTTCACAATGACACAGCATATGCTTATACTTGGCTGCTCATGCACACTCTCTGTTAGATCATTTTCTTCGAATGTGTACCTGCCTGCGACTAATCAGGTTTTCTATGCGGGAGCATATAATAAATATTCCGTATGCGTTCGTAGTATTATAGGTTTTGTGTGTGAGTGTGCATTCATTATTGTTTGTTTGTAAGAGTGCGACGACGGACACACACCT